ACAGGTAAACATATATTCTATAATTTCATTAATTGAAAGATTACAATAAGAATAGATAATACAATGTTTCGTAATTGTCTTTTATTTTTTAGATAATTCATCGCTTGAACATACCCTCAAAGAACAAATTACAAAACTTGATCTTATTCATAAAGATGATGCGTATGAGATAATATCATCGAAAGTTTATACAAAAACAGTGTACGCACATATTTTGACTTACTGCGAAAAGTTAGAGCATCTGAATGTTACTACGTCATCAAATTTTGTATATCCAAGCTTGTCAATTCGTTATTTACCATCAAATACTTTTTCTTCTTCAACTCTTACTTATTTATGTATTAATGTGCAAACTTTTACTGATTTTGTTTGTTTACTTGATGGTCGTCTCAAACAGTTGAGTACATTGATTGTTCAATTATATCAAATGGATATTGATTCATCAGTTGTTCATAATTTAGTAAGTATGTTTTATCTTTTTGAGCTTCTCAAACGAATAAAATCTCACCTATAAATTGGAAACAATGAAGAATTCTGAGAAAAGCAATAGAAATATGTAAGACCGATTTTAGTCTCAAAGTCGAAACTGGTCTTAAAGAAAATTTGCTCTTACAAGTGTTTAGAAGCGAATGATATATTTTCTAATTTTGAGAACCATGAAAAGACTTGAAAAAAAGATATGTAAAAGTTCTTGCATATTCTTTCAACTTGTCTGATAACCAGTCATCATTCAGAAAAATTGAAATTGTTAAGTTTTGATTAATGTGATGAAATAGAAGAATTTTTTTAATCTTACTCTAATAATCTAAACAAAGTAAGGTTCCCGCAACTCAAAACTCGAGGAATTATTTTTTCAACATTTTTGTACATGTTTCGATAGATCGCAAGCAGATGATCATGAAAGACATTCTTTAGATCCGAAAAATACAAAAAATCAAGTAAATCATTTTTTGAAAAAAATCGACGAAACTTTGTATTTTACTATTTTCTTCAGCTAATGAAACTTCTTTTTCGTATAGAGCGTCAGAAACTAATGAGAGAACATATCTCAGTGTAGAACGTCATTCAAGCTCAGATTTTGGCTATAAGTAGAACTCAATTAGATTAAGAGAAACCTAAAAGAATTCAGGCCCATGGCCTATTGATCAAGAGTTATGATCATGTTAATGAATTTTTGCCATGTCCGTAGGTATTCACTAGAAAGTCAGATTACTAGATTTCGATGATTCTTGAGATATCCTGAAAGTTTTAGTTCAAACGATCGATCCTTTACCGGAACATTCAGTTTTCAAAAACTAGTCGAGTTTCACTGGCGTGTCTCAAAAATCGAGTTTACGTGAAAATCCAATATTTCGGTAAAGGATCGTTTGTTTATGCTGAAACTTTCAGGGTATTTCAATGATCATCAGACCTATTTTTGGGCAAAATTTCAGGTCGAAATCTACTAATTTGACTTTCTAATGAATACCTACGAACAAGCCCAAAAAATTCATTAAAATGATTATAACTCTTGATCAATTGGCCATGGGCTCGAATCCTTTTAGGTTTCTCTTAATCTAATTGAGTCTTACTTATAGCCAAAATCTAGGCTTGAACGGCATTCGCGACACTTAGATATGTTTCCTCCTAAATATAAAAATGACATTAAATCGGCTCAAACTAATTGGATAGAATTGAGGAAAAATGATGTTTCTCAACAACGAAGATAAAAGAAAAAGAAAAGCGATGCATGCTTTTATCACTAATGATGTGATGAATCGAATGAGATAAATATTTCAGTTCTCCAGTTAACCAAAAAAGGCAGACAGGTTTACAAAAATGGCTAATGAGCACTCGATTGGGCACAAATGGCAGCACGATACTCAGTTTTTGCTGTTCTATACGACAGTGGCGGATTTAGGGGGTGCTGGGGCGATCGCCCCTGTTCTCAAAATTTTTTTTCGATTTTTCCCAGCAGAAAAGACCTAAGAATGAATCGACTTTATCTCAAACGAAGTCGAAAACGCGTTTTTGTGACCAAAATCGCTCCCATTCAAAAAATCCTAGATTCGTCACTGCCATACAAATAAAATTGTTTCATAAGCTGATAAAAAAGTAAAATACAGAGTTTCATCGATTTTCAAAAAAATTGATTTACTTGATTTTTTTGTCTATTTGGGACTTAAAGAAATTTTTTCATGATCATCTACTCGTGCTCTATTGAAACATGTATGAAAAGCTGAAAACAAAATGTCTGCTTGACTTTTAAATTGCGAACATCTTAATAGTTATGTACATATGTAGGAGTTACCTATTGTTAATTGTTATTTCTTGAAATATATATTTTATGATATAATCAATCATATCTCGTTTGAAATTAGATGAACATTTATTGAATAGTCAGATGAATACAAAGAAAATAGAATTTATTAGTTGACATACGTTTGCTAGGTCAGAAAATTACAATAATGGACTCATTCAAGTACCTCGGTTACACTTGGACTAATAAGCTATCAATAAGTCCTACCGTAAACAGAAGCCTCGAAAACATCCAAAGGTCTTTCTGTAAGTTGAAGTGGCTGTGATTCGAAAAAAATTTGCCCAAAGACGTTTTAAGAAGTTGTTTTTTCGCTTATACATTTCCCCATTTCTCTTGGATCTTCTCTTTCTTTCCCTTCGTTTCACCAACTCATCAAGAAGCACTTAGAAGAAAGTTTAGAGTTGCAGTACGTTTAGTTCATCGTGCCGCATTTGTACGCGCAGCAGATCTTTTTACATTTACTTGAAAAGAATCGCTTGGTAATTATGTCAAACGCTATATCTCGAGAAGATTGAAAAAGATATATTCTTCCGATTTAGGCTACTCATTATTTCTAGAAGATGTCTTTCATTGGGATAATTTTTGTAAGCAAGCCAATGACGGTACGGGTCATCTTTTCTTGTTGAAATGTGTTAAACGTTTCAGATCAAAGCATCGTTCGCTCATATTGGATTGGTTAGAATTCTCTGATCTTAGTGATAATAGAAGAATAGGAAAGAACGGACGTGCAAAGCTGCTAGTCCTTTGACCTCTCTCCTTATACCAAACATTTACCTTATCTGTTACTTGTTTTTCTCTCTCCGTCTCACTGGCATTGTTTATTCGTTCTTTCGCTATATCACCCCCTTTAATGTTCCCTATCTTTTCATTCTTTTCTTTTCCTTTTAGTGCTCTTGTACTACATTCATTGTAAGCACTTCCGAGTGTCGCAATAAAACGAGCAAAAACCAAAAAAAATGAATATAACGAAAATAGAAGTCATCTTTTTCTATATCCATTGATTAATGTAATATTTCAATTATTACAGATTACTAAATAGAATTAATTGTCTCTCTATAGAAAATTAAACTGTAACATAAGAAATGAAAGGTCTATTTGGATTAAATTGTAAAACAGTTATCTAAATAGAAACAGTTTTCAATTAAGTTGATATAAATGATTATACTTTAATATTATAAAATAAATTTCTTAATAATATTGTTTTTCATTCTATAGGATGATCTACCTAATCTAAAGTGTTTTTCATTAATACATTATGGTTTAATTGAAGAATATGATAATAAAATTGTATCTCATCTTCGTCGTATGATAAACTTGGAAAAATTAACTTTGTATTTGTGTCTCGTTTTCGAACGTATATTCATTGATCCAATTTATCTCATAAATGAATTTTCAATGCATATGTCACGACTTCATTCATTCAAATTTTATCTTAGTACGAAGAATAACAGAAATGATTTAGTTCGTTATTTGTCCAATAATGATATTAAACAAAATTATGTGCGCATAGGATATCAAGAAGTATCGAATATTGTTCAATTTGTTGCTAACACAGCTACATATCATGTCTTTACACTTCCTTTCCAGTTTCCTCAGCTCATGTATATTGGAAATATATTTCCAAATATTTTATTCACTCATGTCATCGACTTATGTGTATTTGATGAGTTTTCATTTGAACATGAATTCTTTCTACGAATAAGTAAAGCTTTTCCAAAGCTTAGAAACTTTTGTGTTATGAATTGTAGACCACTATCATATGATGTGGAGAAATTATCTGACAACACTATTCAATCATATGAAATTGTTGAATATCCTCATCTTACTTTCCTTGATATTTCATGGGCAAATGGTTATTACATCGAACAGTTTCTAAATGAAACCAAAACACATCTACCTCGTCTGTCCAAATTAAGGGTTCGATATGAAGAATTAAGAATTATTACAAAAGATTTTACACGAGAAATAACACGACGTAATTGTGCTAATGTAACACGATTAGTTATTGAAAGAACAATTGTCGGTTCGAAAGACTATTACATTTATTTTCCTTTATTGTAGATTGATAATTATTGTAACTTTTGGAATCACAATTAGGAAATAAAAGACAATTATTTCGTTTGCAACAAACAATAGAATAAACGAAAATGAAAAAGAGAAGAAAAAATATTTTTTGTTATTTTTTATTTATTTAAAAAAAATCCTACAAGCATGTTCATCCTTAACGAAACAGATGAGTATTTCACTAAATTACAACAAAAAAGTAATATATATTGATCGAGTAGGTGTAGCAGCTCATAAAAGCACCAGCAAGACCTATTGATATGATTCTGGATGAGTATTAACCGAATAAATCAGTAGGTAATAAAAAGAACGAGTAGCGAGCAAGACCAGCAAGTGGCCATTCGTAAAATACACGAACACTTCCAAAGGAGACACAAACTCGGCTAGTTATATAAAGTGGCAGGAAAATGTTTAAGGCACTTTTTCGATATCTAGATAATGATTTCGATAGCTCTCAGAACGAACTATAGATCTGAAATGATAAAAAAATTTAAGCTTGGCTATCCCAATTTTTATAACAAAAATTATTTTTGCCTAGTAGAAAAAATTTAAGATACTTCTAATATTTGATTAAATATTTCCTATTTAACAGTTATTAAAAATCTTTCTAAATATCATTCAATACAGAATTGAACGAGCTATATTTTGGTAAGAAATAATTTTTCAATGTCATTATTATTAATTAGTTTTTTTAATATTAATTAAGTAGAACAGAAAAATTTGAAGGTGAGTATGAGTGTGAGTGAGGGTTATGGTACTTTAATGAGATTACACCTACCCTCACCCACATGATGAACCGCTTAGTTCAACAGTACAAACCCTTCCATTGTTACGTCTATTTATATAGGTAGATAGAATTCGATGAGTTGTACTGATAGAAATCTACAAATTTCTCCCTCGAACAGGGTGTGGGTGTGTGTAATGAAGAGATATCCACACCCGCACCCACACTCTATCTATACAGACAAAATGGCTCCGAGGTCTTGTTCAATATTATGGAAAAGGATATTAGCTGTAATTTTCTCATAGATTTTCGAATAGATTGATTTACTAACATATTCACTCTCGTCCTTTGACTTGTATCATTGAAATATATTTCTGGATCTTGTCGAAGGAGAAGTTTGTAGGTTTCTATCAGTACAACTCATCGAATTCTGTCTACCTGTATAAATAGAACTAAGCTATCTTTCCTTTCTAGGTGTTCGTGTGTTTTACAAATGGCCCTAATAAGTGTGAGTAAAAATAAAGATGACGCGCAAGCACTGTTACGAATGAGTACCATAAGATTGTTTCGACAAGAAAAAAACATTCAGTTTTCGTTATTGACTTCTTGTCGTTGTTGTTGTTGTTCGAGTGCGTTTAAAAAACACAAATTACATGAGTTGCATAATTCAAGTTTGAATATAAATGAAGTTTCAACTGTATAAGATGACTTCGAAAATACACAAGATAACGTGCTGGAAACGGTGCCAATCCTCTATTGAAAGTCGATTAATACGAACAGAAGGGTGTGGGTGTGTGGGTGAGTGAATTTTGGCTACGATTCATGTATCCACAACACCCACACCCAGCCAAATAGGTTGATTAAGTTTGATAAGTAGTGAAATTCTACGAATTTACTTTTCTCGTGGACTTTTGGGACACCCTATATATTCAACTAAAAAATGCCTTTTTCTTGTTTCTCTGACATAAAGTCATCAATAAAATAAAAAGAGTCGAATAATCATTGTCCCTATGTTGTCTTATCAGATTCCATTTTCGACTCTCAATTTCCATTTGTAATTGAACAATTCAAGTAATAGAATCATCAGAAGATGTTTACTTGCAGAAAACATAGTTCAGTTGAATTAAAAGCAATTGATGCATTATAGAATTTCGCTTACGTGATCAATTACCTTTTATCAAGCCGATTATGGTTCGATATATTACGTCATTTAAACGCGTTGGATTATCGAAATCCAAATTCTTCTGATTAAATATGATATTGTGGACATCCAACACAAATTCTTGGAAATCATCAGAATTAATATTTGACCGATCAAGTTTCGACATAGAGATTTTGTCAAATTAATTATCAGTCAATCGTCCATGTTGAAGATAACTTTCACAACACTGAGTTCCTACTCATGTCGATGATTCGGGCCTCCGGAAATAATCGAATTTCACTGGAACCGGTAGGAAATATGCGGAAAAAGTCACGTATCCGGCAGAAAAATATCGAATATCGCAGGAACATGAAAGTAGTATTCCGACCGGAAATCATCGGAAAAAATGCGAACATTTTCTGCGGGAATACTGCTTCCATGTTTCTGCGTTTTTCGGTATTTTCCTGTCGGAAGCGATCCGTATTTCTCGACCTGGCTATTGGAACTACTACATCATACTTCAAGAAAACTATTGTACCTTTGTAAATACCATGTTTCTATCGCCATACACAGCACATGATCTAGTACCGAAAAACTATTTTTGTCACCAGAGAATTGCACAATAACTCCCAGGCTACTCTGCCTAATACAATCTCCGATAAGTTCTCACGGATTTCCTAAAATAGATAAATTTTCTATAGAAAAATCTTCAGAGATTTTTCAAAGAAGAGCTGATTTGGGAGTACCGGTGCAAGTTTTCGTGATATAATTCATGCAAAATAACGTGAAAAAACCTAGATGATCGTTGATACATAGATACTCTTCTTGTTAACGATATCTCAAAAAATCAAAAACTCGATGTAAATCATATCAAAATAAGCCAAATGATCTGTGATTTGATAATGATAGTATTAATACGTTTAAAAAAATAGATTCTTAATTATATGATGAGAACGACAAAAGTTTTTATTAGATCATTTATATTGATTTTATAGCATAACAAATCAACTTTTCGTATATCATCTCAGTAAATAATCAACACTGTATCAATTATTTTAGAATGAGAGTCAGATAATATTGTCGGTAAAACTCAAAATACTTCTATTTTATGAATAAAAATTCTTATCAAAGTTTCTACATAGCAAAAACCCATATGAAGTGCAGTTCCATAAGTAGAATCTATTTTTAGATTTGATGATCGTCTGTTAGACTGTTAATTTGCATGAATATGATGCTTATCAAAAATATAATTACATCCGTAGACTCACACGAAATAGCATGTGATAAATACATGTGATCGTTTGCACGTTTTTTCTTCTTGAATTGCCGTTTGCTTGTCTCTCAAACTACCTGTACAACTAAGAGGTGATAGAATGCGTAACTAATATACATATTGAATGATTTCATATGAGTATACATTTTCTTTTTATTCTATACAAGATAACGTGTGATCTCTTTATGTTCTTTTTGAATAATTTAGAAATATTACTAACGATTGGTTTTTTTTACTATATCAAAACAAAATATTGTTCGTCTTTTGTAGAAAAAATAGTTTACCCTAAAATTCATTATAATGGTAGTCCTTTTCGAAGATCCACGTAAACTTCCTTTGGCAACATTTTTAACGCAAGTTTTTATTACATTAGTTGTATGTAAAATTCTTGCTAAGTTACTTTCATATATTCGACAACCACAAGTGATTGGTCAAATTATTGCCGGAATTCTTTTTGGTCCTTCTGTTCTCGGTTTGAATACAAAAGATTGTTTCTTTGTTTTCTCAATGAATATTTTTTTGTTTTTTATAGGTCATATTCGAGGTTGGTCTGAAACAGTATGGCTGCCATCAAGTCTCCCAGCATTTCAATTGATTGCTAATTTAGGCTTACTATTTTTTATGTTTTTTTTGGGACTTGAACTTGACTTAGGCCAAATCAAAAATAGTTGGAAAACTACAATACCAATTGCATGTGCAAGTATTATATTTCCTGGTAAGTGTTTATAAAGCGTATAAGAAAACAAAAAAAATCAAAGTCCATTTTTAGTGGGAATCGGATGTGCAGTAGCTTTATGGTTCTATGATATGAATTCAAATTTTCAAACGAATAAAATCGCATTTATTCTATTTGTTGGTAAGAAAAATAGTAAAGAATTTCCACGTATAAAATATTTTGTAAAAATAGCGTCTGGTTTTGGTTTTTCTGCTTTTCCTGTTCTTGCTACGTTGCTCAATTCAAATGAGTTATTGAATAAACCAATCGGTGTTCAAACAATTTCTTTAGCTGCTGTTGAAGATATTGCTGTATGGGTTATTTTAGCGATTGCTAGTGCTTTTTCATCAGGCGATTCAGCGCTTCAAGGTCTTTATACTTTATTGCTTACATTAGCATTTATTGCGATTATGGTTTTTATCATTCGACCCATTCTTAAGAGGCTTCATGACTTTTATTTACGTCATAATGATGATACCAATGTTTACTTAGTTGTGATATGTTTATTATTACTTGTTGCTGCTGCATTTACAACAGAAGTTATGGGCAAGTATCTGTTTTTTATTTTCAAAGAGGAGTATTTTAAAAAGATATTTATACATGAACTTGTATAGGCATACATGCTTTCTTTGGTGCTTTTATTAGTGGTCTATGTCTTCCAAGAAAAGGAGAATTAACTAACTTTTTGGGTTTACGTATTGAACTTATCATTGTTGAATTTTTTTTACCGTAAGTAATATAAAACATCTAATAAAATTAATTTTATTAATTATATATCAATTATTTTAGTCTTTACTTTGCTAATAGTGGTCTTCGTACACGTTTGAATTTACTTACTACAGGTCAATCATGGTGGACACTCGTTGTTCTTATCTTTCTTGCTTCCATTGCTAAAATACTTCCTGTAACATTGATGTCAAAGCTTTGTACAAAAAAATCATGGTCTTATTGTTCATCAATGGGTGTACTTATGAATACACGTGGTATTGTACAATTAGTTGTTTTAAATATTGGTGTTGAACTTAAAGTTATTTCACCAATTATTTTTGCTATATTCGTTTTGATGGCTACTGTTTTAACATTTTTAACATCACCAATAGTATATTTACTGTATCGACGAGGTGTTGATAAGGAAAAATTATCTTCGAACGATGTTACCGAAGAATTAGATACAGTTAGAGAAGATCGTAAGAATATGGTTGAATATGAAAGTGCTATTTACACAATTTCAAATGGTAGTGTAATTGATAATGAATTAAATTCTTCAAAAGATAATTCAAATGCAAATCGGGATCAGTCTGCAGTCATTGACAATATTGTAAAAATGCCAATATATCCTAGACGAACTGTTAATATGACACGATTTTAAATAACATATTCTTTGTATATAACAGATACAAAGCCATATGTCTAAATCGTAATCGTGATGTGTTCTAAAATGATGATCTTTGAAAATCATTTTCTTTTGTCTATCATAATTTTTCATTGTCATGGATAATACTCTTAAGTTAACATATTTCGCTAAGGAAATATATCACATATGTTTATTTTTTTGAATAGAATATATTAGAAATAATTAACCATGTCCTATGAATTATGTATGTTGCTTGAGAAAAGTGAAACCATTTGTTACTCTGCATCAGAAGTCAAAGTCAGTTCAATTTAGAGTATGCCGAAGGAGATTTGAAAGAGTCACAGATTTCAGTTCTATCGGATAGGTTAATTCCAGTTGTTGTACGTAGTTTAGATTTAGTACATTTGATAGTAGTTCGAGAATGTTGTGCGGTCCGCATTTAATGTCAAGAAATAGTTTTCTCACGTTAGAAAAGTAGAAATGATCAAGTCTATTGCAGGAATCCGCGTCTGAATTAATATATAAAGTTAATTCTTGTACTGTATGTTCATATTTATGCATATACGCTAGAATCGGACTCGTTATTTGTGCATGTTGATTGTTTTCGAGGGTGTGAGTATGACTTTCTCGATTACACGCCCATCGTTTAGAATTCGTTTGTGATCTTATTGAGTCTGTTTTGACATTTCAATCAACAATGCATTGATTTAATGAAGCACTTTTAAATTTTACATTTGAACTTCAAATGGGTTTAAATTTTGAACCTGTTGCAGCTGGTGTTATTGGTACAACAAAATTATTTTATGTTATTTGGAGATGATATAATTAATGTTGCTTCAAGAATGGATTCAACTGGTGAAAAAGGATGCATTCAAGTTCTTGAACATGTAGCATTGGGTTTAAAAGACAAATACACATTTGAATCCAGAGGAAAAGTTTATGTTAAAGAAAAAAGTCAAATGACAACATATTTTTTTATGCTCCAAACTAAACCTTGAATAGGGATTTATATACATGTAGAATAGCATTTTTTTTTCTTTTTGTTTTTTTGTGACATTAAAACAACAGACAATTATATTGAATTATTTCATCAATAAGTTTTATTTAAAAAATAACTGTGAATGTTTTTCTCAGCATTTTCATTCAAGAACTATTGTTAGCATTATGGTATGCGTTATCATCAAAAAATAGAACCGGAGTGTTATTCATTTTCGGTGCAGAGAACAAGAAAGAAATGCTGTGAATTGTATAGAAGAATATGAGTTTTTCTCTTAGTCGAACGCTAATCATCGTAGAGCAGAAAAATATATGCTGTCAATCAACATCCGTTCTTGTTCTAATACAAGAAAGAGAGATGTAGTTTTTTTGACTTTGACAATCTCATCAAATATTCTAAGATAAATGAGGCATTAGTCTTCATGATGAACTAATATGAGTTTTTCCTATTGTTCTTTTTTTGGAATAGAAAAAATGAATCAACTTAATTATTCACAAGAGAATTATTTGTGTCTTTACCACTAAAATTTATATTGATAGATTTTAATATTTCGTAGAAATTGGATCGGATATTAGGTCTTTTTTTTATTCATATTGAATCGCTAGTCTAATTTTTCTTAATTTATGTCTTTTTATTTCATCGTTCTCATCTTATACTGGCATTTAATTAGTCGATCATTGCTTATACTTAGATGATGACGCAGTGAAAAAACGATTTATCTCAATAACAAGGAATTAGGCTTTTCTAGTATTTCAGTTTGGAGACATTATTTTATAAGTTGGCGTAGTATGATTTAATTTAACAAACTGTTCATGAAGACACGTGAAACAAGCATTGTTAATGCACATAATAGAGCACAAGAAAGTGAATTAAACTCAAATAATTATCTTGTTGTCATAGGAGTTCTATTATACTAACTCTATACTGGAGATTGAATATGTTCAATTGATGACTACAGTTAGTTCTATGACAGATATCGATTCATTCCATAGTATCATGAAAGAAAAATGAAAACAAGCTGCACGGAGAATACATCCTATTCCGCGATGTTGCACATCGTGGAATCAGTTACATCCGATTCCAGAATTCCATTCGATTCCGGAATTTCATCCGATTCCAGAATCGCATTTCGGAATTCCGAAAATTACGGGAACTCGATCTTTATCGAATAAGCCCAGTTAATTCGATGATTTCGGAATTTCTGGAATTGGATGGAACTGATTCCCGGAGCGGAATTGATCCCGGAATGTGCAGCATCACCGAATAGGATGACTGCTCGCTTTCCCATCAAACTTTAACTTTTTTTGTTAGAACATGAAATAAGTCGATTTATCTCATAGAACAAGTGGAATTCTGGAATTCAATAAGTCTCGACAAGTCAGATTAAAATATTCAAAATAAAGAATAATCATAACTTTCATTACAACATTGTTCACAAAATATTCATACATTTTACTAGTAAAATGTAATAAAATAAATTTTGTTTTAAATAAAATATTGAAGTTGGCAAGTGCGCAGAATAATTCCAAGTAATCAATTAGACAGTCTTATTTTTCTCGTCAGCTCATTGTAATTTCCATACATTCTAATATATAGAAACAATAAGATATTTATATCAAATGTCAGAAGAAAGCTGGAATGTACCAATAGATAATATAATACAGTTGGAACCATACATGAGTTATCATATTCAATTAAGAAAGGCAATAAAAGAAGAAACTAAGAGAATACACTAGAGAAAATATCTAACAAAACGAAAGAAAAGATATGGTATAATACATTTAAAACATGTCTTGTGACACGTCTCACGTACGTACTATCACAGAATTATTTTTCTTAGTATAATTCAGACAAACAGAATAAAAGCATATTTTATGATTCATAAACTACATCCATTGATAAATAAGAAATCATAAAATTTCTATAAGGTATACATTAAAGAATGTTGTAAAAGTCCACTTGGCTTGGAAATTTGGCGTAAAAGTGTGAAAAAAGCAATTGATCACAACGAAGACCTAGATGTCGAAATATGTTTAACTTCTGTTTCCTCCTAAAATTTGTCTGATTTTGATTTTCTATCTCTTCTAACGCTGTCGTACACGTTATCGTCCTTGTACAACATTTATATTTAACACTATACTCAATTCATATAACACAGACATGCATTTAGCCAATTAATTGTTTTGTTCTATATGCACAATAGTTTAATTCATTTCTTTTCAGTATTTTTCATATTAAGTAGCTCAAGCAGAAGTAAAATATCCAAGTTATCTACGATTATCAAAAAGTACTGTATGTACACTTACCTAAAAAAAACTATCATGGTGATACTTCGTGAAGTAGATTGTTTTACTCTTTTTTTGTATATATGTTAATTTCAGATGAAGCTACGAAGTATTTTTTTTCTTGTGTCAGATTTCTATTGGAAACTTGGTTTTCAATTTCAAAAAACACTTAGTTGTGTTTGAATTGAACATAAGCTATGGATATCAATGCAACAAAATTGGAAATTCAATTTAAGAAGGTAGGATATGGGTGTGGATGTGGATGTTTTCGTCTTTACACTGGCATCACATACACCTTCAAGATGGATTTTCGGATTGAAGAAGAAATTTTGTAATATCTTTCGGTTTTCATGATAGATGTAATCTTTTTAGATGTAATACGAAAGAACAAAATTTTTTTAATCTTTAGCAGATTGTTCATGTAGCATTCTGGGTTAATTCAGTCATGATGGACTAATATTGAACTTTATATATTTCTACTATCGACACATTCAGAAACAAAAATTTGTTGGTAAAAGAAAGATTTTTTCTTCTGACACATGTTAATTAAAGAAGCCCTCGAAAGAACAACTTTTCTCTCGTTTTTATATCAGATTTTAGCTACTAGAAAATTTAAAAAATAGTAAATAGCAGTTTTATTACAGTTTTTTTATCCATAGTACAAGCTATAGATCTCATATTTTGCAGTTATGTAGCATTACATATGTGCAATAATCATGAATTTTAAAATCGTTTCAGAACTTCTAGAACACCTTTTGTGTTTTTCTCTATTCGTTTTGTGTGGTTAATGTTGTCCTTCTCCTCTTTAATTATTTTACTATTTAAATAAAGATTGAACTCATGTTCAACAAAAATACAAAACTTATTATTTTTAATCATCGACTGTGCAAAAAGCATGTACAACGATTGTTTGAAAACCGGTAGCAAAGATGATAGGACAACAACAATTGAAAGACAGAGGCAATTTAATAAACGATACGATTAGGTAGAAGATGTCAAGATATGGAATACATTATTAGTAATCACAAAATTGAAAATTTCGACGGTTGCATAAAGGGAAAACGTAAAGTGTAAATCATCCTAAATCAGTGTATGCATGACAGTTTATTTCTATGAGCAGAGTGTAGTATAGAGTATCAATCAATTATCACAAGCACCTTGGATAGTTTGTTATCATTATGGACATCAGTATAGTTTTGTCTTTTTCGCTCTCCTCTGAGATAATCAATAAGAAATGCTCTTATTTATTTGAACCGTATGAAAAATGTCTCATGATTAAATAAATGTGACAGATAAATAATTGTTGATTAAACGGTTCTTTTTTTTTTATCATTGACAGTCACATGGAAAGAGAAAAGAAAGGAGAAAAAGACTATCTGGACGCATATAGTACTTAAGTTTTTATATACATAGAAAGACGTCACTATGAAAATATATGCATGACTTCGCTCTACATTGACGACGATATACACTCTTGCCTATGAGAAAAAAAAACAAAAACACTGACTGTAAAAAGGAAATTTATCTCTCTTGTCATCCATGACAAGAAAATATTTTTTTGCAAATTACTCATTGCTAAGCAATCAACGACTAAATATAGCTGAAGTATAATTTTACGATCATAACATTTAATTGTTTATTCATATTCATTTATCATTTTCTTCTCAAGCTCCGAAAAGTAGCAAGCAGCAGTGAAGTAATGCAGCCCAATGGTTTGTTGGATCGTCCTTTTGATGTTTATGACAACAACCTATATGGCACAAACGGCTGTAGTTGAAGATGCAGATGGTAAACGCTGGCATACTACTATTCATTATGTAAAACAGAAATAACATAACTGATTGTTGTCATAATTGTCATTGGGTAAAGTTATGATTATAGGACAAAAAACAAGAATTCAAGAATTTATTTTCCTCAACATTTCATGCATATATAAGACATACACGAGTCTCAGTCCAACTAGGTAACATCCTATTTAGATGTCAAGTCAACTGTGAACATGAACGAGACTTCATATCAATCTGAATGATTAATAGTTTCTTTATGCATCAATCTCAGAAGTACCTGTCCAATAGAATATTGTTTCGGCTGAGATTGATACATACCTAGTTCATATCCAATATCTTTAACACGAATGCTTTTTTTCCTCCTGAATAAATACCATTCTGTTTTTCTCTCTTTCTCTTCATAGTATCTCTTATTCACTTTAAACCTACCACTGAAGGTAAGAATAAATAGTCCTACATGAGTCACATGCTTGTTTTTTTTTTGTTGATGATTTATCAATCTTCGCCACTACTTGAGAAAGTGTTCTATTATTAGTTTTTTCTTTCTGCTTACTTGTTTTTTGTATTCTACACTTTAAAAAAAGCTGCTTGTTGTGACCATTAACCGTGACCATAAAATTACATTAATTTATACCTTCGTTATTCTGTAAAATATCCTTGAAGAAAATGTAAGAGAACACATAGAAGAACAAAAAGTAGTAGGTGAAAAATCAGAAATATCGATAAAATTTTATAATTGCTTGGTCATATAACTAAAAACAAAACAAATGATTTTATTATTTCAATAAAATCTTATGAATAAATTTATTTGTTTCTTTATTTTATTGTAGATGGATAATTTAGATGCTGACACATACTTTGAATTTAAGACATATGAAGAATTTCGAAAAGAACGATTGAAATTAAATTATGATAATACATTAAAATTATGGTATTCACTACCTGATACACTACCAATAAATGAAAACAATCGATTCAGACGACACACACGTAAACAACAACGAGCACGTTTCAGAAAAATAAAACATTGTGTGGCTTATGCTATATTGTTCAAAAAAACATCTAAGAAGAAAATTCAGTCAAAAAGTAAATAAAAAACAAAAAATTAATTTGATGATTAGTCGAGAAATTATTATACAATAATTTAGTTTCAATTATTGTTTATTTTCAAGATAATTTGTGATGAAATTATTGAAAGAATATATATATATTAGATTATTATCCGTTTATGTCAAAGAATAAAATTCAAGAAGATCATGTAAAAATTATTGTTTTGAAATAGATTATAGAGAATTTTTGTTTAATTTTGTTTTTATTGTTAGTTTAAGATAGTAGTTTTAAAATCAAAACAAGAATAGGAAAATGTACTATGATGAAAATTTTATTTTATTTTTTCTTTCAGGTTTTCGATTATGGAATGAAATGTTAAATATATCTGCATCAAATGATGAATCTCTTTATGGTATACAGCAATCAATGAATCAACTTACTGTAGAGTTTTGTAATAGAGTACGACAATATGATCCAACAATCAGTCATGATGAATTATTTAAAGCTGGTCGATGTCTTTGGTTTATGACTGGTTTTCAAATGCAATGTAATTTACCCTCAATTTTCAATGATTCTATGATTGGTTATAATATGCTTTATCCATATACAGATGATTTACTCGATTGTAACGATATAAGTAAAGAAGCAAAAACCGATTTCGCAAAAATTTTTCATGAACGATTACTAATTGGTGAACCAACATATGATCCTCAAGTACATTTTGATGGAAAACAATCAAATATTGCTGAATTAAAATTACCATCATCATTACAAGCACATGCTAATCGTATAGTAAAAATATTTGATATGGTGAAATTTATTGAAAATGATTGGAAACGTGGTGGTGAATATGACATTGTTTATATGGCTTTAGCTACAATACATGAAGGGCAAATGAAATCAACATTACAACATGCAAGAACTGAAGATGATTATGCACCAACCATGACACAAATTGAACAAATTAGTGCAGAAAAAGGTGGTGCATCAGTATTAGCTGCTGGGATTTTACTTGATGGACGATTAACAAGAGCTCAAGTAGCTTATTTAGAATATGTAGGATTTGCTTTACAATTAATTGATGATTTACAAGTAAGTTTAAATGTTTAACATTTAAATAAAATCTAAAAAAAAAAGAAAATTTTTCTTTTGTTTTTCTTTTAAGGATGTAAAAGAAGATATGAAAAATAATCATCGAACAATTTTTACTCAAACTATTGCTGAAGGTCGAACATTAGATGCACCAACAGCACATCTTATGCAATTTTGTTATTATGCATCAGCATATGAAAAATTTAGTGATGATCAACATACAGTTTCAGATCGAGAAACTCATCTTACCTTAGCTCATTATGTACAAGTTTTAATGATGATGTTTTCTGTAATATTGATTTTAGAAGCTGCATCTCGATTACGAAAATATTATTCAAAAAAATTCTATCGTGAATTATCTTCATTAAGTCCACTTTCACTTCATCATCTCAGATTCGCTCATATTGAAAAAAGACTTTGGAATACTACACGAAAACATAGGGTTGGATAAGTTACTTTTTAGTCTTTTATTGGACAATTGCGATAATCTATTGATTTTATTAACATATATTTTATGTATATAAATGTATATGACAGGATTTTTTTTATTATTTATTATTCGAATACAAGACGGTAGAACGGCTACTGTTCATCACTCGAAAGGAATGAAACATAAAGAAAAGAAAAGAAATCTCGACTGAGACTCAAACTAAGGTACTATCACAATTGATCACTAGCCAGACGCTTTTACGAAGTAAACTATCGAAACATAATCTTAATTCAAATTCAATGTGAACATTTATTTTAATCTTTTTGAGTTATGAATAATAGCCGTTCTACTATCTTTTATTCGAATAATATATATTTTATGTATTTTATTTTGCCAAAAAAAAAAAATAAATGATACCAATTAATCAGATTTATATAGTTCGAAAAATGATTAGTTATGCTTCTCAAAAACACAATTCATATGCTAGGAAATATGTTTTTATAAACTGTTGATGAGTTAATCTATTTTACTTATGACACTATGAATCTTGACTGTAGTTTATTATTAATAAGATAACATGGAACAAATGACTAATTTATCATGAATAATCAATTAAATATTATGATCAATATATTTGAATGTGATAAATATAACATCATTTGATTTTTGAGAGATTTTGAAAAATATTCTTCTAATTTATCTATTTTAATCCTGTTTCGGACATTAGTTTTGCATATAATGTAAACAGAAAGTTTGGGAAAATGTTTTTCGCTAGTTTTTTTTTCAAACTGTATCATGATTGCAGGAATGTATTTCAAAAGAATTCAATAAAACACTAACGAATCTAAGATTTTGTAAGAGGGTCACTTCTCTGAAGAAGGAGTGATCATTGGAAAAAATCATATGTTGAGGTTTATATTAGGTAATATAAACTCATTTTTTGTTCATTTTTGCTGGAGAAAAACGAACAAAATCTTGTTAGAATCGAAGATGATCTTCCCTTCGTGCTCGTCCATAAACCCATCACTACGATAAAAACTGCCAAACACTAGATCTTAATACATATGATAAATACAAAACAATTAATATGCAGAACAAAGATGTAGAGTAAACTTTGCTATTTTTTGTCAGCTTTATTGGCCAAAAACGCTGATTTTCAATCCAAAGTGTTTTCTACTTACCTTTCAAAAAATTATGAACATGTCTTGTATAGCATCGAGCTATTATAAACATTCAACCAGAAGAGTTGGAAAGGGCGTGGGTGTGGATTCCAAATTTGAATCTGTGCTCACATCCATTTTCATCCTTGAACAAGAAAATAAAAATGTTTGAAGAAAGTCATTGATCAAAGACTAATCTTTCTCTACATATGCAAAAATAAATTGGCAATGACAATTGCATTAGATCAATCACAAGATTTAATTTTTTCATACAAACGAATAAAAGTGAGTTTTGAAGAATATTTTCAATTTAATTAATACTTAATCTTATTTTATCATGAAGGTACTAATTCAATATTCAGTTCATGCCAGTCTCCCTCGATCAAAAGGATCACATTTTATATAAAAAAAAACGATAAAAGTGTACGCACAAGATGAATAAATGAAAAATCAAATAATTCGTTTTGTACCAAATTTTGTCGATGTGCGTAATGCATCATATTTATTTGAGTTGAGGTCATTTTTTCACACTCACCTTTGATACTTAATCAAGATAAATAAATAAAAAAACGTCATATAACGTCATACATATACATATAAAAAGAAAATCGACAATGAGTTCAGACAAATTAAATAGACCTCTCCTATCGTTGCAATCTTATTCAACAGTGCAACCGACTGATTCATCTACTGATTCATTCGGAATTTTGTTTGATGCTCCTACTTAGTCAACATCTGATCAAAATGATGCTAAAACAACTCCTACTTCTGTCGAAAGAAATGACTCTAACAATTCTGGTCGCTTCTGTTTAGACCTGTTTAGAATGTTGTACAACTACTGTACAATTTTTTTATTGTTGTTGTATATTCGTTCAATGTTTAAGTGAATGTAAATGAGTAAAAACTGAAAAGATATATTAAAAAATCAATGATATAGATAAGCACATTTTTTCAATATCATTTGTACGATGAATATTGTTTGTAAAAATGAACTATTTCAACAAAAGGCAGAAATTTTCAATTCAAAAAGTATCAACTATTCCTTAGCATAATAATCGAAATAAGACATTTCTCAATTTAACTGATATTATCTTTTGATAAAAAATTTTTTTCTTTAATTATTTTGCTGTTTTCTTGAATTCAAATAATAATATTTCATATATAAATTTTTTAATAGAGGCAGAACACTCGAAAATTTCGAACAGTTAGCATATTCATTCACCAACTGCAGTATCCTCAGCTTGGATGGGTATGACAAAAAAAAATGGAGATTTTCCAGTCATTCTGATGGTGTCATGATTCGTTTTCAATCATTGACATTGAAGCTTACTAGTTATTTGTGTATCTGCATATGATAGTTATAAATATTAACTTAAGTTATTATTTTCTCCATCCATAAAAACTCAGTTTAAATATTTTTATAACGATGAATGTTAATATATGAAGAAAAAAATACAATAAGCAGAGCAATGTTAGACATGAATATTTCTTCATGCTTCTGCCTCTAGCAATCTACTGCTTCTATAACGATTTTTTTTGTGTCAATACTTGATTACTACAGGATACTACAGGTAAACATTTACAATTAATGAAACGGCGAAGAATGGACAGCGATATAGGTGTCTCTTTCATTATCCATACTCATACTGAAAAAGTTGTTTTATTCATTTCAATTCTTGAAACTTTTATTTAATTTTACAAGCAAATAAATTATCTGATTTCTATTGTATTGAGCGAAACATAATACATCAATAAAGAATGTATGAGTTCAAATGATCATTGATTTTGTTGACAGCTTTCTTGTTGATTTTTTTCATTGATGAGTGACAAAATATCATTCAATTCAACAGAAATTGTCACCCGATTTCAAGAAAATTGTTCTTATTTCAATAAGATCAAGTTATTGATAGAAATTTTATTTCCAGTGATTATCAATTAACAGACTAAGAAGTCGAAAACAACTAAGCAATCATTCTGCAAAAATGATCATAAGTTCAATTGTTCGAACGGGACAACAGTGTTCTGTTCAAAACACCTGCACTTCAAATTTCAAACTACTTGTAACTTTCAATTAGTAATTTGTCTCATAGGTGAAGTATTTGAAAAGCGTATACACACCTTACAGATATAATCATCGAAGAAATTTTGTATCATTTTCAACGTCCGACTATTTCAGAGCCGATAGTAGTAAGTGAGAAACATATAATTAAATGAGATTTAATATAGAGCGCTAAAAATGCATCAAGAATATGTAAGGTGTGCGTAATTAAAAAATCGAGTAAAGTTTTTTTGTCTGCGATATAAGTGTAGGTAAAATAGAGCTAAGAATTTGATATAGTACTTTCAAAAAATAAAACACCGTGGAAAAGAAAACGTTGTTCTGCGTTACATGTTGTAATGTAAAAATTTTATGAATAAACACTAGAAGATCATTTTTTTTTGAAGTGGTACACTATAGACAGTTCACTTTTTTTTATGTGATGAAATATCAGTGAATACATCAAAAGAAAAAGACTTTTTTTACTAGAAAATTAGAGTTATTAAAGATTCATGATGTGCTTTGGTTCAATGTCTTACATTGATCTTTTTGATGCAGCATTTTTAATGATATATTTTTGAAGGGAATTTCACGCTGAATTTATTGGTGCAAAATTGAGCAAGATGAAAAATTCAAATTTATACATTTATTCTAAATCATTCCATACAAGTCACAAACGACATCTACTCATAATACTTCCTTCTTTTTTTTTCTACAAGTTGGTTATAGATATTTGACGCACTTTTATGTGTACCAACTATGTCATAAATAAATAGATGATTGATTGAAAACAAATACAACTGTATGTACTTCACATACATTTGCTTTTTATTGATGCGAACGACAGCAATTTTGTTTATGATGATTCGAGCACTTGGTTGCGTTGCAAAACATTGCTTAGCAGCAAGCACTTCACAGAATGCTTTCAGTCGAACGGTTACTGTTGTGCGATGCTTGGTCGTATGCGTTTCTTTTTTGAATGACGTCAATCTTCTAGAAAAAATTTTCATGCGCTTGTGCAACTGCTTTCACAGAGAAAATAAAATACGCGAGAGCGATCATTTGCTTTTTGTTTTCGAAAACAAAACATTCTAACGAAGTAAGTTACCTAAAGATGAGAATCAAATAAGTCAACTCTGATTGATGAAGTTTGAGGAATCTTATCATTTTGAGTTGGTAAAATTTAGATTAACGATTGTTTTGGAATAAACAGATTTGAGAAAATATGCTGTATCTAATTAGTTTAAAATAACAGCTGTCTTGATCTCTAGAAATCTTGAGAGTTTTAACTATCCGAACGATTCATAGAAACCAATAAAGAATTCATTTGGTTTAAATAAAATTTCATTATTAAAAGTTTAGTTTTTATTGCCATATTGAAAATCTGAATAAAACTCGTCTAGCTTTTGACTAATTGAGTAACATCGACGTCTATTTTTGATCTTTTGCAAATCATATTTCAATGCATTATTAAAAACAGAACGAAAACGGTCGATAGTGTTAGAAATCAATTCATTGATCATTCCTTTGCTGTTCTTTCCTATTATTAGCAAAAAACTACATGTCTTCATGCATTCGACGTAATCAAACAAGATAAGAGAAGACAGCAATAGTTAAACGAGAGAATTAATTGAATATATAGTTTGTAAATATTAGATAAACATAGAACAGCAGACAGCTCTTTTGCACCTTTAACGTATATTTCAATACCTCGTTCTCTTATTCCGACTGTGTTGAACTTTCGTTTATTTTCTTTGTGAAAACAAAAGTAATGATAAAATGAATGTATCAAGTTATTTCTCTGACGTAACAAATAGAAGATGCGATATGATGGTCTTACTAAACGTTTGCTTGTATTCATTGTATTATTATTTTTACTCTAGATTTATTGACATATTATTTTACAATTCAGATTTCATTATTATGTCGTGGATTGTGGAAGAAAGTGAAAACGCATCTGCTGTTCATATAAACGGTAATACCATCACATGTACGAAGAAAGGTTCCTATGATAGTCCAATCAATGTTATGTATAATGATCCAGCTGATCATAACGGGCAATATGGGTGGGAACTGCATTTTACTGAATCAGCAACGGAAACTGGTAGTTCGGCAGTCGGCTTGACAACCAAACAAAGCTTTCAACCAGGACATATGTTGAAAGCCATGGAATATTTAGGTAACTGAAAGCACTTTCTATACTGTATAATTTAGCTTCGAAAACGAGGTCGAATAGAGAGATGCAAACGATGTGGCTATTTGTCTGTCATATATTAATATGAATCTGTTTTCTTCAAATAGAAGAAAGTAACTGGAAGTAATTTTGAAAATAGTTCATATCACAGAGAGTAATCGAATTGAGTGAAATGTTTTGGAATCGACACATGAAGTTATTGTAGATGTGAATTTTAGAAATAGAAAGATCTACCTCAGTTTCACATATTTAACAAATGTTTAGTAATTCTATCGGTAATTTTTACACTATTGATATTATTCTAGGAAATCTATCGGATGGGAGTGGTCTTCTAGTACAATCTTTTGGTAATCAAATCAAGCAAGGTGATAAAATTCGCATATTATTAGAACTAACCGATGGGGACATGAAAATGTACTTATTCCACAATGAACGACCATTGGGTCTGGCATTTCATGTACATTCACCATATCCAAAACCATTGTACCCGGGTAAGCAAGATTGCTCGCCATTTGTTCATATTCTATTATTTCAATTTAGTCGTGAGTTTCGGTTGCAATGGGAAAGTGACAATTACTCGTTCCGATCAAATACATGGATCATTAGAACGCCTATCATCACAATGTAATAATGTAGAAGGCAAATGGAAGGTTATTGATTTTCCTCAACATCCTGAATGTATCGATTGTCAGTTCAAAATACAACGCCATGAACATGGTGAAAATATGTACGTTCTTTTTACGAATGTTGTTAACATGTTACATTGCAGCTTGGAACACAATCCTACGACTAATGAATGGAAATCTGCTGATGTTATATCAACACTAATGACTGGCCCATTAGAATTAATAGAAGAAGAACATGTGATCAGTAATTTTCTGTCCGACATACAAAACATACGTGTAGATGACCAAGAAAACTTAATAATGCGATCGAAGAATGGAGTTGAAATTAAACTGGAACGTTGCACAGAATGGCCACCGTTACCCGTGACAGAGAACATATTCGTTTAGTTGGCATTTGAAGAAGCACAGATACAAATGATTTTTTTCTTTCATTAAACTCATAAATATAACTCTGTTGTAGTGTCCTAATAATTTACTTGCTTGGTAAAAACTAAAATCAACCTTCAACTGTTTGATTTACTTAGAAAAAAGGAATGTTACTTTTTCTAAAGAGGCAATAGGAAAAACTTGCAACATATATCTTCTAATTAATTACCAATAAATTATGTTATCGAACAAAATATGCCTTCAATAAGGGTACAGAGAATCATGTGTAGATGTGGATGAAAAGAAGATGTACACCCACACACCTACTTCCAACAAGGTTTCTAGATATTGAGTAGGTAGCAATGATATTTGTTGAGTTATTTTTATTGGAATTTGACATATTTCTTAGCGGATCTGTTCTAGAGATATACAAACGTAGATTTGTGTATAGTTGTCGTCAAGATGTTGTTGAATTAATGACAACTAATAGGAGTTGACAACATTTAGATTACAATCTCATTCTTAACTCTGTCTAATGCTTTGATATCCAGTTAACTTCAAATCGTTACAATGCGGTAACTTTAAGAAGTTTTACAATCTTAAAATAATGAGAATATGTGTGGGTGTGTCATATATTAGTAGGAAAAAAACATTGACATATTTGTAGAAGTGAAGGTTGTAGGTACAGAATTGCTGCGTTCGACAATTAATCAGCGTGCTATAAACTAGATAAGACTAAATTTCTTTTATTATAAGAGAGACAAGATCGATTCTTACGCCCGCCTATATAGCAGCTTCGCATGCGTTTATCAGGATTTATTGTAGCATATATAATTTATGACTGATCATGAAAAAAATGTTATCATATCATAAAATTGTCTTATGTCTACAAAAAATAATCAGCCATCATCGGTATACATATATATATAAGTATGAAATCAACACAAAGCAATTGAAGTTTGAAACATGAAGACAATACTTTTCGTTTTCTTGTTTTTATTCTTTTCTCATATTAATGGTCAACCCTGCCAAGGAAGATTTAACCAATCCATCATCGGTGATTGCTCATTGGTTGATGACTGCGAAGGAACTCTATTAGCTGTTACTTCGTGTGAACAGAAACGTTGCTGTGTTTCTGAAATGCCACCAACAATAGGACAATCATGTTTGACACAAAATAGTTCAACTCCTTTATTCAATACGTCCCGTGGAAGATTCATTCAGAAAGTTCTAAGTAGAGGAATTTATGAAGCTGGTATTTGTTCTAATTGTCAAGCAAAAGCGGCATTTTTAGCAATAGCAACAACTATGACGGACAATTTTGAAAATGATGAAGCAACGGGCAGTGATGCACAATTTTCTGGTGATGATAATAAGTATGGAAATGTCGAGCCAGGCGATGGATCACGATTTCGTCAACGGGGACTATTCGGTCTTCGAGGAAGAAGGATGTACCAACGATTGCAAACATTGTTGCCACAATATAGGACTTTAACAAATCCTGAATTGGCGGCAATAACAGAAAATGCAATTATCATTGCTGCTCAACTTTGGAAGAATCCAAACTTGTTAGACGGTAAGATTGTTGTTGTGTTGTTGATTAAATACTTAGAAATTATCATTCTAGTTATTGTTAAGAAATAGAATGCATCGGAACGATCGCATAAATAATATATACGAATCCGAATGATAGTTTTTACTAAATCGCTATATTAATATAATGGGTATGGGTATGGGTATGGGTGTATCTCATCTTAACCCACATCCACACCTTCGTAAAGACTTTTCTGTAATTGACTATATGCGAATTTAAAAAGTTCATTTTTATATACCATCTGATAAAGGATACTGGAGAGGAACGGGTATTAGGAGTAAAAGACTTGAATAAAAAAATTTCACTTTTTCGACCTAACAATGGCGTTAACGAGATACCCTTTATCACTAATAGAGAAAGTGCTTTCATTCGAATTGAATTATGCTCCAATCTGCAACTATCTAGAATATAACTTATGTTGGCTTTTCTATTCGTTATTTCTTTGAAAAACAATACTCAATTAGGCGATACAAACACTTTCTGACAATGTCATTTTACAGAATCTTCATATAGGCAAATAGATTCAACTTGATTGTTTATTTTACGAGATGCATTCGACGCATCAAGACTGTAATGATATCTGATTCAGCTAAAAATCGATGCACAGATTTGTGATACATACAGAAAAAAAAACAAGTCTTTATAGTAGACACAAGATAGATATTAGTATGAAAAAACCAGTGAAAATAGAATAAAGTAAATCCCTTTCTTAATAATTGATTCCACTTTTCATTTACTACTCTTCTTGACAAATTTGTATTCTATGATTCCAAATAAGGTTCTAAGAGATGCTAGAAACTATACTGCCATTGAAGTCTCCAATCTGACGAATTCTATTTCATTATAGAAGTACCGTTGACAAGTTATGCTGATGGTACATTTTATCGATTTTCGATATTATGGTACGTACTTATTTAATTTTCCTGTCTCACTTTTGCTTTTTTATTTATCATTATTTTAAAAGGTTTAAATTAACTGGAGGTATTGAAAAGTTAGCTCTTGCCACCATACAATATTCGAAATTTTTGCGACAATTGCAATGCGGCGGTGATTTGTATCCGGGACAAGGTCTCAATTGCACATATAATGCAACGCATCAAGGTATTTGCTCAGCTGATTGTATTAAAGGTCTTGAAGATTCTGGTGAATATTGTGGGTGCGTTGGTGGAGCAGGTCCACAGTGTCCAAACAGTCCTATTCATGTTCGATGTTGCTTAGATACGTGTTCACAAGAGCTGAAAATGGACCTAGGATTTGTTCTTGATGCTAGTGGTAGTGTCGGTGCTAGTAATTATGAATTACAACGAATCTTCGTCAAAGATTTACTTCGTCGAGTTAATGTTGGCAGAAATAAAACTCATGTTGGTATCATAAATTATTCGACGGGAAATGAAATTTTGACATGGCTCGATCAAGATTATACTCTTCAACAAAAAATTCAAGCAGTGAACAGATCAGTTTACTTTGGAGAAGGTACAAACACGCATCTTGCTCTTCGACAAGCGAATACGGTTTTTTCATCTAATCGTGGTCTTCGAGAACCCGAAGATGGTGCCACACAAGTCATCTTTGTAGTAACTGACGGAGAAAGTGCTAATCGAAATCTTACTGTAGAAGCTGCTAAAATTTTAAAAGACAAAGGTATTCATTTAGTCAGTGTTGGAGTCGGAGATGATTCGAATCTTGATCTCATCGAATTGCATGCTATTTGTACACCACCAGCAGTCGAGAATTATTTTGAAATTTCAGATTACCGTGCTCTTGATCACAAATTAAATCAATTTACATCGAAAACGTGTTCAGAACCTGCTCCTCTTCCAACAAACATTACGGTGACTGGTGAAGTCGGAAAAGATAAATACAAATTTTTAAAAATTACAATTGAAATAATTGGTAACAAAATTAAAATTACTATTACGTTGTTAAATGGCAACGTAAAAGTATTCTACTCGTTCAATAATCGAAATCCAAAAGATCCAGACGATTTTAATCATTATGAAACAAAGACAAGCAATTTATTTGGAAGATTTTTCTCACAATTCGAATCATATTTAAAAGGCACACGAGCTTCCAATAATGAAATGACATTGATCATTAATAAACCAGATACAAATCCGGAATTTGTCTATGTTGGTGTCAAAGGTGTGGAAGATAATAATAAATTCGAAGTGAAATTCGACGATTGTGAATTTACAATATGCAATACTTGCACATTATTGTCAACGATGAACTTTCTCACCATGATCTTGTTAATCATGGCCGCTTTTCTATTCTGCTAAATATTATCCGCTAAAAATGAACCATTTAACTTGCTGAACTTTCTTGTTTGAATACGTTTAGTTGTTCAAAAATTATCATAATCAAACACAGAATAAAATTGAACTTTAATTAAAGAAGAAGTTTCTTTTTTTTTTCTAGGATAGGTCTGGGGTGAGGTGTGGGTATGAGAGTGTGAGTGTCATGAGTGCGTGTGATGGTGTGGGATAGGGTATAAGTAAAAGTTCCAAGTTTGAATCGGTGCTTATATCCAACCATACTCATATCTATATCCACACCCCACGGCGATAAACGAAAATGATTTGAAAAGCAAAGTTGACAATTTATGAAGAGAATAGACTTGTCTATCAATTAAGTAAGTTGTAACTAATATAACTGCTTCTAATTTTCAGTAATAGTATAAAAATCGAAGACAAAAATGACTCATCTTATCTGACCTATTCGTTACATTTCGTTCGAATTAATTTAGATATCATTTCTTGTTATTTCCTTTTACGTAACTTCGTTTTGTTTAAACTAGGGTATGCACTTTGATGTGAAGTTTCTTGTTACTCATAGCTACCCACCCACACTCTAATTAAGATTCTGGCGTATTTTCATCTTTTATAGTAGTATTATTAATATACTCAGACTGAGTATAATATTTTGTTCGATGATTGACACTGAGAGGATTTTTAGTACATTCTATGATCATTTTTCCATCGATCAAATTATTTAAAGAAGCAAACTGTTCTTTTTTTTTATGGATTTCACCATTATGCATTTCATTATGTTTTCTTTGATGCCGTCTGATCGAGTCTTTCTTGGTCGATCGAGATTTATCTTGATTTAAATGAAGAACATCAACTTGAGTTTGACGAGATTGACTTTTTTTCTCTATTTTGACGTTGTTTGTTGTCAGTTTTTAATGGTAGATAGGATTTTGTTCAGATTGACACAACACAGTAAGACAAATAACGAAAAAAAAACCGGGTAAAAATATCAAAATTTTAACAAAAATAAAATCATGAAAAGTGCACACTTTTTTCGTAATCATAACGGATCAGTTTCTGAACTAATATATACTGGTTCAAAACTTTAACACTTTATAAACGTGTAAAAATGTGCGTTTTTTACGATTTTGTTTTCGTTCGTGAGACTTAATGCGTTTGATTTCTGAATTGAGTAAATTGTTGAAGAGAATAGCCCTATCCATAGACTTAGTTTGCTGAAAAAATAGTTCAGATA